AACTCCAGTTACCAGCTTTAAGTGTTCAGCAGTAGAAATCTGCTGAACTTTTGACTTTCCAGCTCTGTTGAAATGCAGCTTTGTACTGAATATAAAGTAGATAGGAGAATGGTTGAACCATGGTCTTCGAACTCACAGGAGTATGTCTGGTCTGCTTATAAGATATCACATCCTTCCTAGTCTCTCCTTTAGTAGTGCTCTCCATTTGCATGTGTCAGCAAAAGTTTCCTGAGTCAAAGTGAGAAAAGTCGCTTTCTTGCCTAACAGACCAACTACTGACCTGGGAACTGGCGTATCTGGGGTCTGGTACCTGCTTCAGCACAAATAACTATTAATACAAAAGGAAATAGTCTTGGCATGAGTGACTGGGAACACTGACTGCCTTTCCATATCCAAATCCAGAGAGCACCTACCTGTAATCTTCAAGATAAGGATTTTAATTATTTTGAGAGGGAGGAAAATAGAACGGGACCTGCATCTGCCATAGGCGTCAGAGGTGTCTCAGATCCTGAATTTTGGGGCAAAAAGTTTTCCAGCAAAATTACCAGGCAAATTTCTTCCAAGCAGCTTTCAGGTGATAAAAAATTACCATTCAGTTCATGTGGTTAAGTCACTGACAAAAGAAGTTTGACCAGTTCTCAGATGAATGTATTCAACTTAAACCACTGTGCCTCACAATATACTACTACCATAGCAGCCTTGCAAGCTCGCTGACTCCCAGGTATGGCTGTCTCTGGCTTTGACTCAGGGCATTTCTAGCATGAGATTGACTATACATTTTGTTCATTACTTTTATTCCTCCAATGCAAAGCTTTGCTATTTATTCTGAGCAGCAGATCACAAGACTTGGAAGCAAGTGTTTGTTATGAAATTAGGAGCAATGGCTGAATTTCCCGTGCTTCTGGGAATTCTAAAACTTACGTATGACAAAACACAAGGAAAAACGAGGCGCTTCGGAAAATGCCTTTAAAACGGCCACCAAAACACCAGTCACCAAAACCATGCTGATTTCTGTGTAACAAAATAAAAAAGGTACCTCCACACTAAAGAAATGAAAACCTAAGGAAAAATCCAATTACTAGTTTTATAAATGTATTAAATATTAACAGTAATGGGGTCTACCAGATCTTTATAGCAAAAGAGGAAAAACCTTCTGGGATAGTCCTATTTTGTTACAAGCTCTCTTAGGGCAATTCCTGCAGGATTTAGTCACCGAGGCAGAAAAAGCAGCCCCTGATAAATAGCCAGATGCTAAATCAGCAGCTGAGTACAGTCTCAGGACCCAAAAGGGAGCTGTGGGAAAGGCTGAGATCCCCCCTCTCTTCATTAACAAGGCACAAGGACATGGGAGACATGTTCACCCAGCTCTGTTGAGATCACTGGGTTTGAGCTGACAGGGAAGTCCCTATGAGCAGCTACATTTGAACTATTGAGTTCCTTGTAGGAAACAATTCTTACAGAGCAGCACAAAGCTATGTGGAGACAGGCTAAGGTAAGTCATCTCCTGAAAACAGGAGAAAGCAAAGTTGCAAATTAAATGGAAATACATCTCAGGCAGGAGCCAAGGAGCAGGTGAGGGCTTAGTTTTGAGAATGCATTTTTAGACAAAACCAAATTTTTTTTAAAAGCCTGTGAATGGAAGCCTACTTGCTCGTTATCTCTTCACATGTCCAGAGAGCAACTAGAACTTACATTACAGGCTGCAAAACTACCAAATGCTACTAGGCAGGACCTGAGAAGACAGTCAGCAAGAACATGGTAAATTACAATTATGAATTGCCAGAGCTGAGACCAGGATTTCAGAAACGGGCACCTAATATTTGACTCCTACATCTACAGTGAAGTAGATTAAGGATATAACCTGAATGTTCAAAGTGAGTGCTCACATGTCCACCCATGGATCTTGGAAACTTATTTTGTATATGCTTTAGAAGAAATTCTGAGTGGATGCGATCTGGAGACACAATATAGAAGCTAACAAAATACATCTCTGAATCTTCAGGGAGAAATGCTGGCGGAGGAGCAGAGATTCATATGCAATCTCTCTCATTTCATTTCTTTATCAGGAAAACATACATTTATTGTCAAACATACAGAAATGGGAGTTAAAATGACTAGTCTTCCTGGGAGCTTTGGTTTCACCCTTCTAATAAGTCAAGCATCTAAGCAAAGCACGGTACTACTGTACGTTTGTAAGGAACAGCAAATTTTTTTTTTACTTGAGTTCACCACCTTGCTTCTGCACCTCATTTTCCTAATGACTATTGAAAAAATATTAAAAAAAAACAAACAACAAACAAACCAACCATGATTCAAAGCACTACATGCTCTTAAGTATATTCTTAAAAAATGGGCGCTGTTTGCAGCCATCAGAGAGCACTGTGAATTTCGAACAGGAAAATCCATAGCTGATGGCTATCATCTACGCAACTGAGTAATGGTAAGTGGTCACTGCCCCTGAACATGTGATTTTAATCTCACTGAAATATATGAGGCATGAATCAAGGAGAACATACTGTAGTTTCAACATATATTGCTGAGGACAGAATCACGTTGACCTCTGAGGAAGGACCACCTGTAGCAAGGGCAAGAGTAGGGATGGTCTTCCAGTAGCTGGAAGGGTCTCATGTCCCTGAGCGTTGCACTGTATTATACATGTCTCTGAAACCTAAAAGGGTTGATTTTCATGCTGTAGTTAAAAATAAATGTCTGCATAACAAATAAAGCATGAAATTTGAAATAAAAGTTTATTTAGACCTCTGCTTATGAACAGTTTCTTGTTATAGCTGCCAAACACATTTTTGTAGAGAGGTTTACAAAGTTTTAGATTTTCTTGCAGTTTTCCTGCAGATATGTACACACATATCTATATAATGTGCATAGTTAATTATCTGATTAACATCTAAAGTTCTGAGTCATCAATTAAACTTTTCCAGAGGTCTAAAAGAACAGCAACCCGTACTGAATTTCCAACCAATCAAAAAAAGACGAATCACTCTTCAGGCAAATCAGGAGTCTTGACTTAAGCTTACCTGGACTTGGATCTTTGCCAGCCTTTTAAAATCACCCTCCAAAAAATGTCCCAAAAGTCTACAGAAACATCTCTGAGCTTTAAATACGGAGTCTGACAGGAAAACGTAATGTTATTTAATTACAAAATTAATTCTGAATGTTTCGGTGGGGAAAAAACTGGGAAGTTTAGCCCTTTGGGAGTAGTATTCAAATTCAAAGCTTGTGGGTGGAGTTGGGGTGTGCGAAGGTGCATAAATAGGCAGTAGGAAGGGGAGCGTTCACACTATACCCAGGAACACCTTCACACCCTGGCAGGCATCTGGGAGAGTAAACAAGGTAAGGCACAGCACGGCACGGCACGCTGACTGCTTCAGAAAGTACCTGGGGGAGCTCTGAGCCCGGGTTACCCGGGGCCGGGGCAGACGATCAACGGAAAGAAAAGTCTGCAGCACAGTTCAGCACAGCTTGCTATGGAGAAAAAATGCATAGAGAAATGCTGGCTTTACGGGTTGAAAGAGCCAGGAGAGGAGGGGGGTTTTGGGGGAGGTGGAAAACTGAGCAGAAGTGCACATAGCCTTCCAGAGGCGAAGCTCTTAAAGAGCAGCTTTTATGTTCCTCTGTCTTTGCTTTCTGCATTCTGCACCGGCAACAGCATAATATTTGCCTGGTCTTTAATTTCCTGGTGTCCGGTACCTTTCTTTTTTTTCTGGTAAAGCAGCATTACTTCCGCTATGCAGCTCTCACCAAAACAACTCTTGAGGCAACCCTGAAAATCCACTGGGTTTCATTTAACTTTATGCAATTTTCTTCCTTGCCAAGGAGACGTTTCTTCGGGCAGAAAAGCAGTCTGCTGCAAAAGTTGTATTGCATGTCCTTGACACAGTGACTTTTTGGATGTTTGAGGTCTATTGGACACCCCAGCAGCAAAGAGCACTGTACCACTGATGCAAATTCAGCTAACGTCTCCTCCTGCAGTTCCTACCCAGAAAAACGCTTCTGTTTCCCTGGAGTTTCATTTTCATTGTCTGAATTTTAAAAACTGTCAGCCTGTTGTAATTTTTGCTTGAATCTTTTGAATTTTCTGTATTGCTTTTGGAATATCTTACATTTTCTTACTGTACCTGTTACATTGGTGTTTTAGTTTCTAAGCGGAAATTTAATGAGAAAGCATAGGGTCATGATGCTAAAGCGTTTTACCCCTTCAAAGAAGCATCCCAGCTGAAATGCTGAGGCACTTCCCATCAGACATGTCTCAGCTCCATCCCCCAGAGTCCAGCTCAGGAAAAGCCCTCTGCTTTGAGTTGCTTAAACCAACAGAATGCGTTTCAGTTCTTGCTGTTCTACACAGCAACTCTTCCTCACTCTTTTTATTATAGATTCTACTGGCTTTAAGGATTAGATGATACTTTTAAGGAGGAAGACAGGATCGGAATCTTCAACAACAGCATTAAGCTGTGCCTATGCCAATGGCTCACTATAAAGCCTAGCTTAACATTCTGACTTCTCATGTGAGTTGCTCCTGCTGCAAAGTGGAGGAGAGACAGGTTAATTTTTGAGCACCTGGGCTGCTAAAGTGCTTGGCTGCTGTAACACCAGGAGACTGAGGTAGAACTGTGAACTTAGTAGGACTTGACACAACTTTTGGAATTGCTGAAACCAGTTGTTTTACTGAGCAAATTCAATATATGTAGAAAGAAGAGAGAGAAACTAACACCTAAATGCACATCTTAAAAGGACCACAGCCTAACAGCATGAACAGAGCAGCAGAAAGCAGCCAGGTCCTTCACAGCAATTTGCTAAGCCAACCTGGGTTCCCCCAAGCCCAGTCCCCTGCCTGGAGCAGTTCCTTTCAGCCCCGACTCACCCTGCTGCATACTTGTGCCTTGACCCGCTGCCTGACGGTCCTTATCTGCTGTGTGCCTCCAGGCAAGGAGCAGCCCGGGAGGCACCGCCACATGAAGGTTCTCTCATCTCTTCCAGGAGCGGCCATGGAGAAGACTTACGTGTCCATGTTCCTGCTGCTTGTTGCCATCTCCTGTGCTCTGGCAAAGGATGTGGGCAAGAAGGAGACTACTGCTAAACCGAAACTGCCTCAGACACTCTCCAGAGGTAAAAAAAAAACAACAAAAAAACAGGCCAAGTTAGGAAAAAAAAGTGCAATCTACTACAGTCTTGATTCATCTGCTGTTCTGATAAGTGAATTCTCTTGCATCGCACTCTGCAAATGCACCTTCTAGTGTTTCCTAGCACCCCCTCCGCCCTTATTCCCGACCTAAAGCCCCCCAGCAGCGCCTGTTCACAGCCCGTCCCCGCAGCCGCGGGCGGGACGCGAACCCACGAGGAGGCCCTCTTCCGCTCCAAGCACAGGTACCGCGCACCCCTGCGACCCCCCGCGCCCCGCTCCGCACCGCTCCGGCCCCTAACCAGGGCTCTTCTGTTCCAGCAACAAACCCCTGATGATTATCCACCACTTGGACGACTGCCCGCACAGCCAAGGTAATCCCTCCGCGCTGAAAAAACACAAAACGGAACAAACAAACAAAAAAACCCGCTGGTTTGGGGTTTCTGGATAAATGTCGCTTCAAAAAAAAAAAAAACCAGCCACCATTCCGCTCGCTGAGAAAGCCGTAGCGAAATGCTAGCGCGCACGAGCACACAGAGTGTTCTTCATGATGCTGTCCTGCGCAGGTATTTTCCAACGTGCGGATGTAAAATAAAAACGGTCGTTCGGTACCATGTGATATAGGGTGGATACAGAAATGAGCACAGGTCAGCAGGTTTTGGCCTGTGACCAATGTGGCTTTGGTTCGTGTCACTATCAGGCAAAATCAATAGCCAGACCAGGAGTAGGGAAAAACATTAATTTATAGGAAAGGACACATCATTGATGACCAAGACTGTATCTGGCTGGCGATTAAATCAAACTAGGCTGAAACTGAGCTCTTGTGGGATTTCTGGTAACTGGGACTGCTCTTTTCCCAGCGTTTCTGAATTTATCTGAGGCCCTTCTTCCTGCAAGCCCTTTGCGTCCATCCGTAGCTCCCATAACTGCAGAAGGATCTCTGTGCAAGCACTAAAATCCTTCCGAACATTTCAGGCTGAAGTCCTACACGCTGTATTGCCAGTGCCTTCAGAACTGGAGCCAGAAACTGCAGTAGTAGATCAGGAGGTTTGAAGGGTCAGATGCTCAAATTCAAACTTAAGCAGACAAATCTGAGAGCGAGCGGCACTATCTGAAGCAAGGAGGGACATTTTGTAGCATTATAATTACTCTTTACCATAGAATATAAAAGAGTTGATCATCTTCCAGCAGAATGAACTTCAAATCTTCTTTTGCTGTAATTGTAAACTGTGAATTATCATTTTGATTCTATCAGTTTGTTTCAATTTCTTTTTCAAGGACAAGCTATTTCAGGGGTATATTTTTAACTTTCATTCCCACTTGTTTCCACTCTAGCCCTCAAGAAGGTCTTCGCTGAACACAAAGAGATACAGAAATTGGCTGAAAATTTCATTCTCCTGAACCTTGTGGTAAGTTTCCCAGTTACACTTTATTAAGTGAGGGCAATAAAGTTCTATTTTTAATTATGGCTTCTCTAGTTATAACTAGTCAGTTTAATAGCTAGGGTTGGCTAGGAAAATGGCCATTGCTGAAGCATAATAGATGTAGCAATAAGTGTCTTTCATCTGTAGCTATCATAAACTCAAAATATGAGGGAATTTAAAGTTTAATAATAACACATACTGTTGTTACCAGTTTGCAGTTCCTGCTGTTAAAAGATTGCATCCCAGACAGTGAATCTCTTCAACTGCAAAATATGTTATTTGAGGTGTATTTCATAACACAAAGTACAATGAAGAAAAAACATATTTATGTAACTTCCCTCCTTGACTGGGAACCTTGTTTGTTTTCTTTAAGTATGAAACCACAGACAAGAATCTTTCACCTGATGGCCAGTACGTCCCTCGGATTTTGTTCATAGGTGAGTACTTCAAGCATCAAAGCTGATCTCAGATCAAAGCCCCTGCTACACCACGCATCTCAAATCCTCAGGCTTATTAACTGGAATTTACTCCACGAGAAACGTAAAATTTCCAGTTGGTTTTGCTGGGTGAAATTTCAAAGCAACCCCAGCCGGCTCATTAGCTTCACAGGTCCAGCATTCCTCTCTCGTGGATTCCACGAATGATGCAGCTCCTTCCATCGTGTCACCAAAATGACACGATGCCACGGTCACTGGCATGGGTAGGTGCTGGCTCAGCCTTGCTCATGCTCCTATCCCTAGAAATGCTGTACACCCGTCAGCTTTGGGTTTGTCACACAATCGCAGGCACCGTCGGAACACCCGTGACCCCGGGTGCTTCAGGGGCTCGTTTTCAAAGCTCAGTGCTCAGTTCTGCGCCCCACGGACCTGCACAAACCCCTCCGAAGCATTTGTGCTTTGAGACTTGTTAGTGGCCAGGCATGCACCCCGGTATTCCTGCTCCCAGAACAGACACGCAGCCTCACACACTGCACACGGGCATCATCAACACTTGCATTTACAAATCTAGGTCATGATGACCATTTTCAAAAGATGAAAGCAACTGCCACAATATCTTCCTTTATTATTTCTTTTTTAATAACATTTGTAGCCTGAAAGCAGACTCAGCTCGTAGAGTTAATTCAGGTACCCATGCAGTGGCACAGGGTGCAAGGCCGATCAGCACTGAGCAGAATTAAACCTATCCCCTTCTTAATAAATCTGCAAGCACAACACTTAAAATTGAAATGTCAGTGACTGTGTGGAAGAACGATCTCTTGGTTCTTAGTGGAAGCAGATGTGTCTTGCAGAAACATTTAGGGAGCAAGCAGAAGTGCAGAAAGGTTTCTCTCCTTCTGTGTGAAAGTTAATCCTGTCCCTCCAGAACGCCTCTCATCCTTTTTTTCCAGATCCTTCCCTGACTGTGAGAGCAGATATTACTGGAAGATACTCAAACCGCCTCTACGCATATGAGCCCTCTGACATCTCATTGTGTAAGTAGAATATTCTGAAAAATTCTGAAAATATTCTGAAAGCAGTCACATTTTTCACGCAGCAAGGAATAACACCAGGCATTACAGAGTCTCGCACTCAGCACCTGCTGAAAGACAGTTAACCAGGGTTAAAACAAAACAGGATGCTAGACTTAAACTCAGCGAGGTGGAGAGAATGACAGCAGAGCCCTGGAGCCTCAGACACCCATCTGCTTTAAAAGCAAGCATAGGTTGCTAGGAATGTGCGCAATTCAGCAGCTGTTCACTGTAAGTGAGGGTGAGAACTCTTGCCATGCCCCAGCCTTCCCTCCCGCTGCACAACTCCCACCTCTGCCCCGCCGATGCTTCTGCGCTGGCACTAACAGATGTATGTTCTCACCAGTCGAAATTAAACAGATGACATTCACAAAATGCCTGGAAGAGCACAGTGCATCAGAATCCGTGTAGCAATAGGCATGTGAGAAAAACCTTTAATAATAATGACATTTCCTCTGCAACACTTGTAGTCGCTGGCAGAGGAAGTTGCATCAAAAATAACGTGTATGAATATTTCATTTCTAGTGTATTCAAACATGCAGAAAGCGCTGAAGCTCCTGAAGACTGAACTGTAAGGGGAGGAAGGAAGCCCTTAAATACTATGAAGTCTGATCTGCCACCTCTTCTCCACTCATTGAAACTGGTGAAGAGACTGTTTAGAGTGGTATCTAGTGATGTGTAGTGCTGGTTTATATACACAAACACTACAGTTTTACATTAGCACTTTTGTACTGGGCAGCATTTTTAAAAGCTGGAAGCTTTTAATTTAAGGCGTAACGAAGAATACTGTATGATCCAACTGTAAAAATGATTTTTTAAAAAATAAATCCATTTCAAGTGTTTACATACAAAACATTGCTGTTTGTCATATTTTTTCCTTATTATCATCTACCATTATTAGAAAGAGTAAAATCACTGTGTCACTTGAAACCGCAACTTTCAGTTTTACATCGAAGCACTGTGGAAGAAGAGGGCTGTTGTGGGTTGGTCCCGGCCAGCAGCTCAGCCCCACACAGCCGCTCGCTCACTCCCCTCCAGAGGAAAGAGGGAAAGGGGAGGGAAGTGGAAGGGTAAGAATGAGAAAACTCGTGGGCTGAGATACAGACAGTTTAACAGGCAAAGCAAAGGCCACACATGCAAGCAAAGCAAAACAAGGAACCCATTCACCACTCCCCATGGGCGGGCAGCTGTGCAGCCATCCCCAGGACAGCAGGGCTCCATCATAACGGCTACTTGTGAACACAACCGCCATCCCTCCGAGCGCCCGCCTGCCCCCCTCTTCCTCCTTCTTCCCCCCAGCTTTTAATGCTGAGCATGACATCATATGGTATGGGAGATCCCCTGGGTCAGATGGGGCCAGCTGTCCAGCTGTGTCTCCTCCCAGCCTCTCCTGCACCCCCAGTCTACTTGACTCGCTGGCGAGGCAACGTGAGGAGGAGAAAAGGCCTTGATGCTGTGTAAGCATCAGCAAAAACTAAAACATCCTTGTGTTATCAGCGCTGTTATGGTCACAAATTCAAAGCATAGCCCCACACAAGCTGCTATGAAGAAAATTTACCCAGCCATACCCCGTAGAGGAAAGCAGCTTTTTATTTCCAGTTTCAGCAGCTAGCTAAGCTCTGCATTGCTCAGCCTGCTTTATCTCCATTTATTTTCTCATACCATAGACCTGTGTCAAGCTCTCAGTATCAGCCTTCTCTTTACAGTCAGATAACAAGAAGCACAAACCTTTTGTAGAAAAGTACTTGAGACTACAGAGGATGGGATTATTTACACGGGGTTTTTTTGTTTCTTGTTTTAAACTGGCTGCATCCTGAAGTGATCTGAGGATCACCTCATCTGCTTGAGGATCACCTCATCTACTTCAAGATTTTTTTTTTAAAGATAAAAACTGCTTCCCTGAAGAGACTCTTGTTTGCATCAGGATTTAGTAAAGCCTTGAGATGATTAATAGAAGTGATACTGTATTGAGTACATGATTGGCTTCATGATTGTGGTACAGCTTGTAATTGCTTATTTACAAGCCCAAAATGGACAACAGAGGTTAGAACTTAAAAAAATCCTGCAGCTGAACATCATGGGAGTACACACCACCTTAAGACTTACACCAAAAGGAGACATTACAACCTCAAATATCCTGGAACTCAGCAGCAGCACCAGTGAGAAATACTTTGCCCAGGACCATACCTCCATTATCTTCTCAGCTTTTCGGCAATGTCAGCCATTACTACCACTACTATTAATATTACTACCACTACCAGTCATGATGATAACCATGAGAGAGGGATACACCCGAGAAGACAGGACAGGCAAGAGAAGCAAGGGTTTCAGCTCAAGGGAGCATCTCATCAATATGAGAAGCAAGGCACCTGCTAACATGTCTTTGTCAAGCTACAAGAACCCTATCAACCAGAACATCTCAAGCAGTGCCTGGGAATGGCCACAGGCCATCAGCATTCCTTCAGCAGCTCAGTTAAGATGTTCCTTTCTATTGCAGCACCCTTTAACTCCAATGAGGAAATTCTTTGCTGCAGAAAGGTCTTTCCCTTCATCCTTCCCAGGCAGAAGACGGGGAGGAAAGGGATGCAATACGGGCAGAAATATTCTCCAGAAGCTGCTATCACCCATAACAAGTGAAAAAGCGTTTACACCAGAGTAGAGGGACAGCACAGAGGGAGGCTGGACCAACTGGTTATCAGAATCAACTTTATCTACTCCACCCAAGGCACGCTTGCTAGAGCTGTGTATCAGACAGAAGCCAAAACCTGCCCATAGCATCACATTTTCAAAGTCTATTTTTATAACTCTACTGAAGTAGCATCATTTTCTTAAGCAAATGTACTGATGCTATGGATAATATCTAGCAATTGGATACAAGGCATATTCTACAGTCTAGTAGTCTACGTGTTATAGATGCAAATATACAAGCTAGTTCAGCCCACAGTATCAAGAAATTAATTTTTAAAATAAAACCTTTTTTTTCTCTCAAGGCTATGCTTCTGTAGTTTGCTTTTGACCTTATCCAAATTTTCAAGAATTTTAAAACATAAATGGTCTCCTTAATTCTGCTCTCTTCATCCCCTCCTCTAAATACAAATTATTTAGGTTTACAGAGGCATCAAGCCAAGCTAAGCTACCTAAAAACTCCCAACTTCTTCCATTTCTTGGGAAAACCAGGGAATCATTTCTGAAGCATATATGCTCAGTAACTTGAAGCGCACAGAATAGATGGGTTTTCCAGACCCCACTAGCATTCAGACAATCTATAAATAATTAGGCCCAAAACTAATAATGGAAGCTAATACCACCAGCACAATCCTATTTCCTTATAAGCTATAGGTTTTAAGGTACATTTTTTACAGGTATCAATTCAAGTTATGCAAGCTTTTTTTTGTAATAAATATTTCTTTTTATGTGAAGAGAGGCAGATGCTGTACAGTGGTATCAGCATGTTAGGATCTGGATTCGCTTTCTTACACAGGTGCAGAATTATGGTTTATTATTTTATAGCCAGTTATTTTTATGTGAGAAAAATATGTAGGTGTCTGGAAGGAAGTCAAGACAGGTTTCTACATCTTCCAGAATAACAAACTTTAAGAAAGCATTCCAACATAACTAAGGTCAAAATACACCTAATGTAAGTAAGCATTAAGAATGCTCCAAATTGAACCGCAATATTTTGATACTCTGCTGCTGTAAATAGCTCCTGGAAAATCTGGTTACAATTAAGTCCAATTCTAAAGCAGTCAGATAAAAATTAAAAGGTCTCTCTAGAAACCAACCAACCAAACAAAATTTTTATACGACCAAAACTATTTTCTCAAGAGGAAAGACAAAGCAAGGAACAAAGAAGACTTCAAAGACAAAACCCACCAAGAACAGGCATACTTTTAAAAAATGCTCTATTGCAACACATCAGCCAGAAGACTACAGCATTTCTTACACACTGACATGCGTGTCGGACCTCTCCTGAGGGAGGCTGCTCTCGTCCCTCCAAAACCAGTCAGACTCAATGTGTTTTATTGCCTCCCCTTAAGAATTCGGCTCTGAAAGCGAATCTGATGTAAATTTCAAGGTTTGTGTTGCTTGGGTTTTTTTTTAAAAACACAATCCTAAAGAGACAAAGTACAATTAACATGATAGAAAAACTTTAATCAAACCATATGATCCACTGACCTGTCTTTTGACTCCTAAAACAAATTCACGTGTTCTGAGACATGAGAGTTTCTGAAGTGGTAGTATTTTCAGTATGTTCTCAGTGATGCACGTTTATACTCCGCCACCACCTACCATATTTATGAAACCAGACCCACCTAAAACTAAGCACTAAAACCAACCAGAAAAACAGTCAAAATTGAAGCAGCAATGTGGTATTATTTTAAGCTTCATACACCCTCTCCATCAGACTCCTCCTTTACTTTATTAAAGTAATTTACAAAACATGGAGCCTGTCTAGACTAGGAAAATGAACTGCTGCTAGACACAGCCGTATGACGATCGCTATCCCCTTGACATACTTTGAGAATGGCTGGTTAGTCGTTCACACAGGACAGCACTTGGGGAGGGGGGGAAGCTGTGTACATTTACCTTATACTTCAGGAACAGTCTGAAGGCACTTCAGGTCCTTCAGTACACGAGTGGGCTCTTACGCTGACCGTACAAGCACGAGCTTCACCCCGACCCCAACACCTCTCACCCTGCCAGGCAGGAATTCGCAGCGCGAACACCAGGAGATGGCGCTGACAGCAGGGGCTGCAGGGTCAGCCACACCTGACGAGAAGCTGTCTTCAGCAAGCTCTTGACACCCCTCCGCGTTCAGGTTCAACTCCTCCCGTTTCAAAAACCTCGAGACAATTCCGTCTTCAGGACCACCGGGCACAGGAAAGCCTGAAAGCGTTCTGACTGGCACGCATTGCAACTTCTTTTTGCCTCCTTTGCAGGAGGCATCTCCCCAGTAAGGGCAGACTGTATGAGAGCTCGCTCCTGTCTGCCCTCGCTGCCGTCCTTTCCGCCTTGCTCAGCTGCTGTGTCCTTGGCAGATGGCCTTAACACTCTTCCCCTTTTCTTCGTGCAGCACTGTCTTTCAGGCTGCAGCAGCTGCCTACCACACTAGAAGCAGCAACTGGACGAAGAAAGGGTGCAGCACTGGTCTGCCACTCCACGCAATTAGAAACAAACGGAACATTGTGCGCCTCGGGTGTTTACAGATGGCTGATGGTCCAGCTGATGCATCACTTGTGTTAGTTTGGAAGAGGGACCATGCCTTCCAGCAGCTCAGACAACACTTCATGCATGGATAATGTACTGTTGTAACTTTAATTGTTTTCTTTAAAAAAACTTTTTTTTTTTTACACATCATTGAATCTCTCATGAAATCAAGACCATTACCTGGATGACAAAGGAACATACACTGCTGAATTATTACAATAATTTTACACCATCTGAAAAAATAGTTGTACAACAACTTTCCAGACATCAAGTTTCTTACATTAAAGATGACAGACCACTATTGATTCTGATGTTGTGCAAATACTAAACTTCGTTCACTTGTCACAGAAAAAAAAAGTTTTAAGTTAATCAGCTGCAGATTACATTCTCTTAGTTTTCTTCATTCAATGTTCTCATAGTGAAGATACCTACTAAAAAGTAAAGAACTGTGTTCTCAAGAAAATTCTAAAGCTACCAAAAAGCCAAAACAGGGTAAGGGCAGGGATGAAGACTACAGTAGTCATTAACATACACTTGTGTGCACTACAGAAAGTAACATCTTTAGCTTCTATTTTTAACTTAACAGGAAAGTGGGAGACCATTATCAAGACAAAAAAAAAATTACTAGAGCTCATCCTAAAGCCTAGTCAGATTATACAGTACAACCATACACCATATATTTTTACCATTTTAATGAGAAATCATGTGAATTTTTGTAATCAATGAATACAGCAGAAAATACTTTTGGGTTGTTTTGGACACCAGAGGACCCAGTTAGCGCTATAAAACTCGTGGTACAGCGGTCACCACATCACTTAGCGAAGTCTTAACAGAGTTATTCAACCAGCTCAGAGAAGCAGTTTGACTCTGCCCAGCTACTGAACGCATCAGACTACTTCAAGACGCAGATTCTTAGAAGAAAAATACTGGGAAATTAAATATGAAAACTACAATTTTTTTATGGAAATAAAGTTTTCTTTTGGCTACATGTAAAATCCCTATTATGGAGAAATACCAAACTACAGAGAATCACTGTTTTGAAGTAGAGAGTGCAGAAGATTCAGTCTTTTATTACTCATTAAAGAAATGCACTAGGGTTTGCACGGGGATCCTTTTGGTTCCTGTATCTATGAGTCAGCCATACTCCCAGAATCTGAAAACAAAAACCAAAGATATTATTAAGCTGAGGGTCTCCACCCAATCTTCAATCAGTCTTACAAAATCTGTTTGAAACAAACTCCTGACGATGAATTTCCAGTACACAAGCTCAGAGTATTTGACTATTGCTAAAACTGCACAACCACACACCAGCTTTGTTAATTAGAAAAACAGAATGCACCTTCTCAGAAAGAATTTATGCCTCAGAACAGAGAGAACTAAACAAAAAAGCCAAAACGTTATCTGCAGGGCAATGCAAAGTATTTCCCACAGTCATGTCTAGCATTATTGTTCCCCCTCCCCATATGATACATATTCATAAACCGGTTCTTAGTGTAATGATAAACAAATCCTCCAAATTGTTTCATTTTACAATTACCACTTAACTATAAGGCTATTTTTCTAGTACATTTTCAAATCTTGCCGTTCCCCCCAACCACCTTTCCCCCCTCCCAGCAGCTTCACATTTTCAGTAGAGAAATTGAAGGCAGATATCAGGCAGATTTTGTTTAAGTTGCTGTAATATCCACAAACCTTCTGAAAAGTGCACTAAGCAGCAGAAGTATTGTCACACACTCTGCTGTGGGGTTATGAAGGACCTGCTGTGAGGATTTTTATTCACCGATCAATACAGCAAGTATATGTATCATCTGGATACTAAAGCAAAGAGTCAAAGACCTTTTTAACCTGCTGTTTAAAATACAGTTCACTCATCATGAAACTGTATGTTTGCACTACAGGAGGCACAAAAGAAAAAAAAAAAAAAAGTCGCCAAACCAAAAAACCCCAAAGACTGTGTGCGCACAGGTGGGGGAAGGTGGGAAGAGCAGAGGCACAAGGTAAAGCAACGGCACCCTTTTTATTACTTTCAGAGCATGGTAAAGTTGAATAGCTAACTTCCTTCAAAACCTAAACTTCATAGCACCACATTTTAATGTGGTATCTAGTTGCGGATTGTAGTCTAAATAACAAATTTGCAAGAACTCCCAGTGCTGAATAAACACAAGGCCTGCTTTTGCCAGACTTAAGCAATCTGATAGCCTGGAAAAATTTGACCTTAGTGATTATTTGACTCCTGAGATAGTACTGAGAGTTCCTGTAATAAACCCTCTGAAATTAATTGTTTCACAAAACAAAGCCTTAAAAGCGAGGAAAAAGCACTCAATTTTCTAACCTCCTACTCACTTACCTCTGTGAAACTGAAGAACAGTCCTATGCCTCCAACAAATGTCAGCACCTTTCCAGAATATTCTTCTATTATTGGTGCACATGGTTGACACTGGCGACTTCTAAAACAATCCTGTAGCAGATATAAACAGAGAATTGCACTGCATTTTCCAATGACACTTCACTGATTGAAACCATTTAGTTAAGCTAAGGTCTGCCAGCTATGGACAAAATTTCAGCAGTTTTAGAACACTCTGAAAAACCAAGTATGTAAATGATAATGGAGTACAACTTTTGCAGGGCGCTGTGTGATTATGTTTCCAACAAGTTAACCAAAGACCTTAGTATCATTGTAACAATGACCTTACATATTTCTTACAAAACTCTGCTTTCTGCAACTATGAAAACAGCAGTACATATTTGAAACATAATGAAGTTGTTTTTTCATGCTTGAAGAACTTACAGAGAAGCAGGTTTCATTTGGACGAAAAACTCTGAATCCACAACAATTCAGATTTCTCTCAATATCTGTTCTCGCGCTGTTAGTGTTATTCCATCCCACCTCTAGAAGTTGACTCTAGAAGGCAGAAGCAAATACATACTATATTAATTGAACTGTTTTGCATTTCATTGGAAAGCAATATACTAGGCCAAGTTGATAACTGCCTAACTAAAACCTTCAGAACCTGAAGTCTAACAGTATAATACATTAACGAATGGCCTGAATGTTCGAACTGCCTCTATGGCTAATAAAATAGCAGCACCTTGCAGCAGCATATTGATGCTTATAATTCTTTTTCTTCCCTTCTTTTTCCTAAGCCTGACAAGAGCACTGCTAATGGGACACGCAAGTAATCTAACTGAGACTGCTCAGACTTTAAACAAAAAGTGCACTTACATGTAAAAGCTGATAATTTAGTCACTGTCCCTTGCCTGCTTCTTATGCAGTAAGAATTAGTCTCCATAGCCCATGGAAGCTGGCTTCACTTTCATACTTAAGGGTCACCTCTGCTCCTAATGTAGTTACAACCTTTGCAGTTACGCAAGAACAATTCAGTGGCTTTATCATCTTTACATTATGATTACTGTAGATTTCATCAGCTTATCTGGATTTGCTGAACACACGGTATAATCAAGATATCATGCTGCTACACTTGTGACCACAAGCCTAGACAGGAAGCTTAAAACGAAAGCAATTTAAAACAACAACAACAACAAAAAAACACTATGACAGCTGAAAGGCATTTTAGGACTATTTAGGAGTATTTCCTTCTAGCTACCAGAGACAAGCACTGCCTAAGGTCCAGTTCTTTTTTAAAAGGGTAATGCTGGTTTTCTTAAAATCTGGTCTCCCCATTTTGTGGAAAACTATATATAAATATATGTGTATGTACATATGTATTTATAGTATTGTGCTATAGATTAACTGAGAAATCAGGAAACTTTTCTTACCTGCTGTTTCTTATTTAGTGCCAAACAGGCACAGGAGACAGAGAACTGGACAATAAAGACTAGCAGAAGAATAATCATATACTGGAAATAATAGTTAAGGATACACTTTAAAATTAGTTTTGCTTTCATAATACATATGCCTAATGGCATTCCTTATTTCATTGGATAACAATAGGTCCTTTAAAACAAAAAGAAATACAGAAGTAAATTCTGACTGGATGTGGAAAAGATGACCCAAATCATGCTTCCAGAACTAAATCACCATATATTATCTCTTTATAGCTACTATTATACATAGCTGGTATTTCTGGGTTAGGTGTTTCTTGCCCAGCAAGACCACATGAGCAGAGAGGTTAGTAACAGGAGCTTTGAGAGAGAAAAATCTACAGTCAATTTCTCCAGCTTTTGGGACTCTTCTTGTCGTTTCAAGGTACTTCGCTTAAATAAAGTAGTAAAGAAAACACTTTTCTGGGTATTGCACATTCAGAGACTTTTTTTCTTCAATGACACAGTCTTGTAATTAACCACCAAAGATAACTTTAGCCTAGACCAAAAGAGTGTGAGGTTGTGTTCCAAAAGCAACTCTCACTTTTTTTTTTTTTAAGACTAATACATCTGAAAACAGTACAAAACAAAAAGAACAAACTTTGATACTAAAGATCACGTTTTGAAAGTCAGTCACTGTCTTCACAATTTGGCTGCTGTGTTCAGAGGCAGATACTTATCTCATGCAATTAAACTGTTTATAAAGTGGGGGTCACTACTTATTCACAGACTGCAACCAGAAAAATAAGAATTTTATCTGATGAATCTCTTTTCTCATCCAAACAGATCAATTTTGTTATGCAAGCCAGCACCAAAGACCACTTACACAGCGTCAGTAAGCATAAAGGGACAGCAAAGCACACTGAGAAGGCCTGAGAAAATTTCTAGTCTGGGTTCGCAATTAAAGACTAGGTATGAAAAGAAAGTGCTTCATGCCAGCCTGTATTACCCACAATGCATTCCCCTGCCAGCTACAACCAGCTTGTTATCTGGAAGTATCACCTTTCTCTACTGTCAAACATTAGTAGTTCACATACTGTAGCTTGGGGTAGGGTTGAACACACAGTAAGAGGCAACTGTGACGCAGTGACCCACCATAAAAAGCTCTCAAAAAATGTAAATATTTTAATTTTTAAAAAGAGGAGATGTGAATGCTTCTGTCATCCGAGCACAAACAAGGGAGAAAAAAAGGAAGCTGGAATAAAGTTAATGGGAAGGAAGCTTAATTTAGACTGCACTTGACCAAAATAAGATTGTGAATTTCTGTTTCTGAAGCATCTTCCACAACAGTTTCAGCTGACAGAGTTGTTTACATGGCTTGAACCAAGCTGTGATCCATGCAATGCATTAGAAGGATACAAAGAACAGCAATACTTGATGATGTTTCACTGCACCAATCAATCCAACTAATGCAATAAGGAACAGGAAGATTCCTACTGCAATTACCACTCCAACAACTCTGAAACTAGAGATGAGGCCAAAGCCAATTCCCCATGCCGCAATTCCAATCAGCAGCAGGCTCACCAGCTGGAGGGAAGAGAAAACAAAAAGTTAGTCTACATATTAAGAGGCTCAAACTATTCACCACTACATTCTTCACATTAAAGTTGTTATTATAAAGGTACAATTTTTCTTTCCAGCGTAAAGAGAAGCACAACCCTAAACAAACCAATCCTCCACTTCATCGTAGACGTAACTTTAGTTCCAGATGTTTTAAGGCACACATATTCTTCAACACTGTTACTGTGGAGCTTTTACAACTTAACCTACTTACAAGTCAAACCATGTTGCTTTATCTGTGACCCACTAGAGACACTGAAGTGTGGATTACAACAGAATTGACAAATAAGCTAAAATCATCAGCTTTAATTCAGAGAACAGAAGAAGAACGAAAACTGCAGATGTTTCTGAAACAGGCAGTGTATTTAAAGAAAATAGAATATACAGCTCCACAGCTCTGAACATGTGAAAAAGTGCACTTTGCCAAAACTTACTGCAATCAGGAACACAGCTGCATTAATTTATTAGAGAAGCTTCTACGTAGTTGATGACATAACACAACAGTTAACAAGGTCAGACAAAAACACTTTAGATCTGTATCTCAAGGACTTCACGCAGTAAAAACAATAAAAGTGCTCTTGTCTCCACTATATATTTCTTCAAGAAAACAGGTCTGCTATGAAGTCAATCCTATTTCAATACCCAAAACACTCTTATGCTGTTTCCTTCCTTTTAGCCATGGTATTCAGGGAAGGCAGACAGAATCTGTCCCAGTTAGTTTACTGGGATTTATTGTTTATATGGGCAGGAAGCTCCAGCCTTTTGTGTTCTTGGCATGGAAACAGGAAACAAAATAAAATTCCAGCATGAAAAGTTGCAGAGAAATCTGTAATGAGGTACAGCAGGAGGGAAGCTGCAGACAAAGCCAACCCAGATGTCCAATACACAAGATACCTCTCCTGTTCAAAGGAGTTAGAGCTACATGCAACATATTGCCCATTACGTTCTCTGTTAAGTAAGACCAACATGCAAGTTCCACCCTTCCAAAACCCTGACCTCACTAAAAAAGACCCGAAAGTTGTATCATTATTAAAACAAACAAACAAACAAAAACCATCCAGTAAACACAGTCTAATCCAACTACCTGGCTTTCTTCAACAACAAATACAATAGCAAACACTTCCACTTGCTCACCAGTTTCCATTCAAACCACGTATCTCATTATGTTTTACTGCTTATCCAAACGGGTGAAAAAAAATTATATATAAAGAGGACATTTCCAACTTATCCATCATTTCAGTGTACTTACCCTAGAACAGGGCATTATTGTTGGTTTTAATACAAATGTGTCTATATATTTTTTCAACTAAGTATCTTTCAGCAGACTGACCTATGTAATGCTGCTTCTGAAACATGGAAATCTAAGATAACATTGAGCAAGCTAATAAACCTAGTAGTGATGCTCATGAAGATCAAAACACAGTGGATGTTTTTTTTGTGTGTTCACACAGAACACATCTCAAACATTTTTACCCAAAGCCAGTAATCCATGTGATAAAATAAAGACAGTCTGCAAGAAGAAAAGGAGGGTATTTGTCATACCTACGCCTCTCTCGCCATGTGAACAGACAAAAGAATGACACAAAATTTAAAGGAAGTGTTCAATAGCAGCAGAGTTTTACAATTAATTCATGTTTGTCTTGGTTTCTCTTAAACAAAAAGCCTTAGTCACCATGTTCAGTCAAAACCAAAACACAAGGCCAAGATTTCATGAATCTAAATTACAGACAGAGCGGAAGAAAAAATAAAGCAAAACAAAAAGCCTTGGCTCTGCCACAGATAGATTTTTCTGAATGCATGCTGCACAAGGCTATAAACTTCCTGATGTTATTACGTTTAAAATTAGCCTTGCGAATCAAACAATTAAGTGCAAGACCTACCTGTTCTGATCTACGCTCTTTCACTTTATTTCATTTTCTCATACCACTGGGAAGATTTACTCTTCCACGTAAGTGCCAGAAGTGAACAAAAGGAACCCCGTAACTCAATCTCCAATCCAATAGTGCTGGCTGATGTCCCATGCTCTGCATCAGCTTCTACGCACTGAACTCACACTGCCACTACACGGCTCTTAAAAGTGTTATCTCATAAAAAATCTCAAAAGCAATGTCAAATTTCATTTCATTTCACAAAGAAAACCAGAAGAAACTTTGCTCCTAATGATTTTAACCAATACTTCTTTCTCCTGCCCAAGCTGTGACTGCAAATCTTTATCTTCACCAACCTGCCTTAAGGAACCAAAACGTTGTTTGTTCAGCTCCTCGCTTATTTCATAACATGTCTAAAACAATTAGATAAATTTAGTTTTATTCTTAAAGTTTCAAAATAAAAAAGACGACACCTAAAGAAAATCTGTTCCTAAAACACCTACTGGATAAATGTAGTGCATGAGCTCCAGGGCACCAGTTACTTCTTGCTGCTTTTAGTCATCTCAGCTTCCATTATTCTGATGATACATACATGAAATTAGTGTGTGTAACACTGAAAGTTACTACCATGATCCCCTGGCCCAAAAAGCTTTTCTGGTAGAAACAGAAACATACTAAATCTAGAACTCCTATGGTTTTCAAGTGGAAAAGAAGCCTCTTTCAAATGGCTTTCAAAAACACTGCCGAACCTCAGATGTTCAGGAATCAGGCTACTGGCTTCAAAAAATAAACTAACATAAAACAGTTTAGTTTCTCTTTTGATCACATTCTAGTTCTAGAACCATCAGTCTCCTCTTCAAGCTTTACCTCCATAATACCAAGCCTGAATTTTCTCTTCTTTCACATGACAAAATTGGCCATTGTATAATTCCTTAAAACATCTGGAAATTCAACATGATCACAGATCCATGCTACCGGGCTCCAGGTGGCAAGCTGTGTGAAAATGCTGTATCCAGTCAGGCAGATACATGATTTGGATCAAAATAGCTATTGGCTACACCAATTTTGACCACTTAAAATCATAGAAAACTGACTTTGTGTTTAAAAAATGAAATGGAGACTGCAGGTTTATGAACCACTCCAGAAACACTAAGTTCTAACTAACTAAATACTAAGTTCCTGTCTCCCCTGCATGTTGACTGAAAGATGAAATTATGGTTATTCCTTCATTTTCAGGTTTGGATTGGACTATCTGAATGTTGAGCAATAAAACTCACATAGTGCCATAACATGCAAAACTACAGTAAATGCACACTACTACAAACAGGAAAAATCACTTATGCTAGTTTGGGAAGATGTTTTACAAGTCTGTAAAATAACGCAAAGTTCATAGTGTTGGGCACTGTTCCACTGCTAGAAATGACTACTCAATGGAGCTTATTCCAGTGTTTTGAAACAGAAGGATTTAGATACAATATTTCTAAAAGTGAAGTGCTAAGACTTTGTAGTAAAATGTACTTGAAACAAAATTACTTAGTGACCCTAACTACTTTTAAATGAGCAATATGTACATTGTAACATACAAGTTTTATTTGCTTATAAAAAAAAGTCACCCATTTCTCTTAAATAAAGGAAGAAGGACTCTCTATGGGGCTTCTGAATGTCACATTTTATTTTACTGAAACCACATTTCACAGCACTATCCTCGGAAGACTGAAGTACATGTGAAACTCCATTTCACCTTAATGAGTTTGGTTACATAAAGCTAGCCTTGGTTACTAACACTTCAAATATTTGCTTGATAAATGTCAGCAATATATGAAGTCACAACACAGTTTTTAGTGATTAGGACTGATCCAGTTTCCCACAGTAGTCTCATTAGTAAACCAAAAAGACGCTGGTTGGAGAACTGGCCTGTTAGACTGAATGACAACAGGCTGGACTGCTGAGCTTACGGGGTAGTAATCCATGGCTCAGCATCCAGCAGGCAGCAGGTAAGGAGTACCACCAGTGCTGATACTGGAGCCAATACTATACAATATCTTCATCAACAACCCAGGTGGTAAGACAGAATGGATCCTCAGAAAATTTGTGGATGATACTAAACAAGGAAGAGTCATTGACTCTCTAAACAGAGATTCAACTCACATGGACCTTGATAAACATGAGGAATAAGCCGACAGGAGCCTCATGAAGCGCAAAATTCTGCTCCCAGGGTGCTTCAGCAGAGCTTGGCAACAGACTGGTTGAACAAGTGTCTTACTGAGATAGACCTGGGGATCTATGGACTGGCTGCCAAGCTGAATATGAGCCAAGAGTCTGCTCTCATTGCAAACAGGGAAAGCTAAGAGGCGTGCAATCAAAGGAAACTCAACGCTGGTGAGACTGCAACTCAAATACTGTGTCCTATTTCAAGCCCCCCAGGTCAAAAAGGAAATTTGAGAACCTTGAAACTGTCACCAAAATGGCTTGTAGCCTTGAGGGTACTGTCTGAGAAGCAAGTGATGGAGCTGGGTTTCTTCAGTCTGACAAAGAGGCAGCCTAGGGATAATCTAACAGCAACTGAAGCTGAAGGCACATTGCAAAAACAATGGAGGCAAACTGTTCTCATTACTGACCAACCACAAAACAAGAGGCAACAACCACAAGTAATGGCTTGGGAGGTTCAGACCGGACATTAGAATAAACATCTGCAAGGTGGTTTGGTGCCTTACTCAGAGAGGTGATCATCTTTCTTCGCAGAGGTTTTCAAGACTCAGTAGACAAAGCCACAGCTGGCAAACAAGCATTATTTGTAATCCTGCATTTGGGGAGGAACAACCCCATGCACCAGTACAGGCTTGGGGCAGACCTGCTGGAGAGCAGCTCTGCGGAGAGTGACCTGGGTGTCCTGGTGGATGACCAGTTGACCGTGAGCCAGCAGTGTGCCCTAGCTGCCAAGAAGGCCAATGGGATCCTGGAGTGCATTAGGAGGAGTGTGGC